CAGAGGGACAGTTTCTGGGAGTTTGAGAACACAATAAAAGAAGTGGTTGGGGTAAGGCTCTGGATCTTGGGGTTTTAGACAGGCAAACTCAGCAAGTGAGTCATTTGTTCTCTGGGAATTAGCTAGTCTTACAGGGACTAGGATTTTAATTCATGTACGCATTAGGTATTCATGAAGCTGCTTCTGTGTGCTGGGTTTTATGCTAGGAGATGCACATTTTCTCTGCCTGTGCAGTTTTTAGCCTGGGAGGATCAGCAAAGTCCCAACATGTTAGAGTATCAAAAACAAAGAATGGAAGTGTGCCAGCAAGGTGGCAAAATAAACACTCTCCAGTTCCACTCCCCGCAACAGAAACTAACCACCCAATAACCACGGGAAAGAATAGCATCCCGAATAGCCCAGAATTCAACCGTGAGGCTGACACACCCCCTGGACCGCAGAACCAAGGGAGGCTCTGACCAGTTGCTGAGAGAACAGTTCCCTTTGGGCATGCCACCCATCCCGCAAGCGGACACTGCCACGGAGAACTGGGTTCTACATGGACCAAGGAAATGCAGGTGGACCTTCGGCTTCTGCATCACTCCAGCCTTTCACAGGAGGCTGCCACCTATCTGTCCCCGGGGAGGGAGGGCACTACCAGGGCTCAGAAAGAGCAGGGGCAGGGCTCCCAGCAGTCTTGGCTGCTGCTCTGTGTTCTGGTCAATGGAGGAATCACACCAAAGAAACCAGCTACCACTTCATGCTACATGGGCCCCGGGGTTGCCGAGCTTGGCTCCGTGGCCAGAGTCCACCCAGCCCATCTCACCACGGAAAATGACCCCTTAAGTGAGGAAATGGATATACTAATTAGCTTGCTTTAATCAGGCCACATTCTAGACGTTCTAGACAAAACACTGCAAGTGTATCCCACAAATGTATAAAATTTCCATTTGTTGATTAAAACTACATAAATAATTGAGAATAAAAAGACATGATTAATACAATAACCAAATCTGTCCTCTTGGGCAAAAAAAAAAAAAAAAAAAAGTCCAGGAGGGAAGGGAAAGACAAAAGAAGCCAACAGACAGGGTCACAGTGAGACCACAAAGCCAATGGCCAGAGCCTAGCGAGGCAGCACAGGCCGCTAGAGGGCCACAGCCGTCGTGTGGCCAGTCTCAGCGGCCTTGCTGTCCATCTATCAATCCACCAGGAGACTAAGCAGAAAAGCATCTGCGCCAAACAATGAAAAGGAAACATTCTTACCACTGACCTTTCACATACTGGTAATATTTATACTTCAAACTTTCACTAAATCCATGAAATTAATGCCCATCTCTGTGAATAAAAGGTTCATGAGGTCCTTTTGTTGGGATTTTTTTTTCAAACAGTATTAAATACGTAATTAATTTTCCATTAAGTTTGCCTCTTCTACAGTGTTTTTAATAACAAAATGTTAAGAAACAATCCAACATTGTAATCAGGAATGGATGTCCCTGGGTCTCCCACGGTCCTGGAGCACTGCCCATCTGCCCCGAGGGACTGCTTTCACTACTGTGGTTGCCAACTCCAGAAAGGAGCCCCTGGTGACCAAGATTTGTACTTTGAAAACAATGCAGTAGTAATCTGTCTGAAATGCATGCACGCAACACACCCAGGGGCCTGGGCTGGGTGATAAACCCCTTCTCCACCTCCACGGGGTTTCAGCCCAGGAGGTGAGGACGGATGAACAAGCTTGTTCTTCCGTTTCCTCCTTTCAGGTGGCCCATACCCGCAGTTGTTATCCTTAACTATCTCTCTCTTTCTACTCAGATAAATCTTCCGATTCTCCATGCCTGTGTATCACATATAATGCTATTTATCATTTCTAATATGCTATAACCTAGAGATAGTCTTGATGACTTGTATCACTTTATTTTTTTTAAAGTCCATTAGCTATTGTTTTCAGTAACAATTCAACATAAGGTTGATTGTGTTTTATTAATAAATTGTCTTTGCCAATATCTTACATCAGTTCCCTGGACATTAAGTGATAGCCCAGTGTGGCCAAGCCACCATGCTGGGTGGTCGTGTGGGAAGGCCAAGTTGAGCACTGTCCCTGTTGCATCCACTACAGCCCAAGTGTAGCAGAGAACTGAAAACAAATCTTAGCTTTGCTGTATCAAGCCAAAACATTTTTATAGAAATCAGCCTCTACACTGACCACATGTATCAAATGTACTGATGTGTCACATTATACCTTATAAATATGTACAATTGGTATATATCAATTTTTTAAAAATATTTTTAGTTGTAGATGGACACAATATCTTTATTTGATTTTATTTATTTTTATGTGGTGCTGAGGATCAAACCCAGTGCCTCATGCATGCAAGGCAAGTGCTCTACCACTGAGCCACAACCCCAGCCCCTAATGATAATAATAATTTTATAAAAGAAATCCAGCCTCTGCACTTTCAGTTGCCCAAGATTTTCAGAAATTGCCAGCATATGGTAGAGTATTAGAGTTTAATTTAAATATCCAGGCTTAATTAATTCTCAGAACAATCTTTGAGGCAGGTCTTCTCAGAGGCCTTTCAGAGTTCGAGCACTGAGGCCTCTGATAGTTCTTCCATTTTCCTACCAGTGGTTTCTTTTTTTTAATGAAGAAATGTCAGAAAAACTCTCATTTATTTTAAGTGTTCATACAAACAAAAATTTTAAAGCAAACAAATACAATGCAATATTGCATACTTATTCACAAGGTAATTATGGGTTTTATCATAAAAATAGGAATTCAAAATCCCTTGAGGTAGAGAGAGCTACAAACCCAGCTTTAAGACAGGCATCTTTCACTCCTATCATTGTGAATCTGACCACATGTACAATCTTGTTTGGGGATGATATAAAAAGTATAAATGTGAGTCCCTCTAGGAATATATCCTGGGCCCATTGTTCTCCCTAATGGCACCTATCAAAATATCACAGATCCCGTGGTTTAACACAATTTGATACAAGGCTCCCTGGTAATAGCAAGGATTTTATAATACTCTATCTGCATGAATACATGGGCATATGTCAATAGAGTACATGCATGTGCACACACACACACACACACACACAAAATCACCATCCCCCCAGTAGTAATGTGTAGGGCCTCTTTAGGCTTTGTAACTACAAATACACACCCAGTGAGTTCCAAAATCAGTTTGAAATGTGGGGTAATCTTGTGCAAGACTTTGCAGGAACTATATTAGCCAGCATTCCCCAATCAGGCAAAAACAAAAACAAATTCCAAAAGTTCCCTAAAGGGAGAGGGGAAAAAATGCTGTTAAGAATTCATCATAAAATGCACAAAAATGTGAATCTGAGATTATACTCCAGATTACACTCATCTAGAAAGGGCAGGTTTGGATCCAAAGCCACATCTCATGATGTCCAATCCAGTAAATGTTTTCAGAATGTTGCAATTGCCTCCTGATTTGGAGTGGCTTCTTAAGGTGATATTTGACCCTTATGTGTCCATTCAAGTTCTGTTGACTTTTAGAGACAGAAATCATGCAGCACATAGCTCCCTTCAATACAAAACAAGAGTCCAAACTGCTGACACTGAGAGGTGACACCCGCCTCTAACCAGCCCTTAGTGTTTACATCCACAAGTGACTGGGATGGGCGGAAACATGCAAGTTTATTTACTTGAATCATTTGTATAACAAAATGGATGAATTTCCCAGGTTTATACATACCACTCTCAACTCAAAAACTTTTTATGCATGTGGATAGGCACTTCAAATGTAGAAAAGCCAAATTTACTTCTTAATTACCCCTATCACCAACACCCTATGTTACCCCAAAACTGTTCCTTCCTCAATCTTATTCATGAATGTTAGGGAATTCTATTTAAATGCACATGTGTTAAGAAGGTGTAAAACTGTACATTAAAATGTATAGATGAGTTGCAGTTCACATATGCAAATTTAATTACAAATGAAATGAATTTTATTGTCTACTTAACTGTACATTGAAGCAAAGGGGGATGGAATGAAAAATAAACCAATAAAATAGACCTCTAAACATGTAATTTCTCAGGCCAAAAACCTATATATAATCCTAGATTCCTTTCTTTATCTCATGTATTAGTCAGTCGGTGCTGCTATGACAAAGTACCAAGGAATAGGGGGCTTAAAGAACAGAAATGTATTTTTCAGAGTTACAGAGTCTCGATGGAGTAAAGCTGTCATCAGGGTTGGTTCTCCTGAGGCTTCTTGATGGCTTGTAGATGGCATCTTCTTCCTTCTGAGTCTCCCAGAGTCTTTTGCACATGTGCGCTTGTGTCCCCGTCTCCTTTCCTGAAGAGGTCACATTTATTGGACATACCCTACACATTTACTTCAACCTGGTTACCTCTGTCAGATGCAGTCACATTTTGAGATTCTTGGAGTAAAGATTTGACATCTAGATCTGGGGACACAGCTCAGCCCATAACCCCACCATTCCCTGCCTGCAGCTCAGCAAGTGTATTGACGTCCTCTGCCTCAAGCCTCTGCCCTCATTCAAGCCACTACTCCGAGAGGCCCCTGAGAGTGTCTAATGCCAGTCTTGCTCCTAATTGTTTCTGTGCATTCACCTGAGTGATCTTCCTCAAACCAAATAGGATCTTGCCACTCCATGCTTAAGCCTGGACAGTGGTTGACCACTGTGACTAGAATAAGATGCAAAGTCCTGCAGGACCTACGAGATCCCTCTCTGCCTTTAACCTGGTCTCACACCGTCTCCTTCTGCTCTGTCCTCAGGACGCCTTCCTTCCGCTAATCCTTCCCAACCCAGAACAGTCAGAGCAGCTCTGCTTTCTCATATTCAGGTCCCCACTTACACAGGGCAGTCTCAGAGGGAGGCTTCCACCACGGCTTTACACCCGCAGAGCCCCACCTCACACCTTTCTTGGTACGTTTTTTCTGATTTTTGTTGACTTCTTCATTATCTATTCCCCTCTCTCATCTCCCACTAGAAAATGATCATAAATTCTGCCTGGTTTATAAATTCTGCCACTCCATCCTCCTTTGCTTCAATGTACAGTTAAGTAGACAATAATATTCATTTCATTTATAATTAAATTGGCCTATGTGAACTGCAACTCATATATACATTTTATGTACAGTCTTACACCATACGTGCATTTAAACATTCATTTTTAAAATTTAAATTAAATTTGTTTTTTAACCATCAGATAAAACATAAAAATAATATACATTTGGGGCTATCGTGATGTTTTGATACATGTATATATTGTGTAATGTTTATGGGTTAAATATATCTACCTCCTCAAACATTAATCATTGTTAATCACTAAAAATAATATGGCTTGTTACTTAATCTTAAATTGTGACATTCAGGGATGGGGATGTGGCTCAAGCGGTAGCGCGCTCGCCTGGCATGCGCAAGGCGCTGGGTTCAATCCTCAGCACCACATAAAAATAAAATAAAGGTGTTGTGTCCACTGAAAACTAAAAAAATAAATAAATATTAAAACATTCTATCTCTCTCTCTCTCTCTTTAAAAAAAAAACTGTGACATTCATTATGGAAAATGATCTTTCCATTGAACAGTCAGATAATATAATGTGAATTTACTTTTATAGCCGCTGGTGATACAGTTGGCTTTTATGAAGGAGTATAGTATCAAAAGTAAGCTATCGTAGCAAATCGTGTTAATAATTAGGATTAATTAATACTAAATCAATAAACATTATATGCTCTCTTAAGTAAAACCTTCTAATATCCAGTCTGTTCTTCTTGAAAAGATCTTGACAGCAGGCCAGGTGACCGCCGGGTTGAGTCTCACTCACACCCTGAATCCGATACGTTCACATGATTCCAGATTCTGGAAACACCCACTTGTCAACAGGCAATGGGCTGCGTGTCTGCGTCCCCAGATCGACATGTTGAAGCCCTAATTCCAGTGCGATGATTTGGAGGTGGGGTCCCTGGGAGGCCATGAGAAGGCGAGGTAGAGCCCTCATGGGGGTTTGTGCCCTATAAGAGGAGGCCAGTGCCAGGTGGCCTCTGCGTGAAACCTCATAGACAGACAGCTGCCTGTGCTCAAGAAGCAGGCACTTGGTCAGACTCCAACCTGCAAAACTGCAAGAAATGTGTGTGTTGTGAAGCCACCAGGTCCATGGTACTTCATTCTGTCAGCCCAAACTGATTGAGGCACAAGAATATTCATAATTTTAAAGCTAAATATTTCAGATTGAATCATCAACGAATTAAAAGAAACCAATGTTACTAAGCCCTGAAGCAGATCTCTCCCTGCATAGTCCGAGGTGCGTGGCTGCCCTGGGGAGCTGTCATCACCGTCTCCATGCCCAGAGCAGTACCTTGTGTCTTCAGCAAGTACTTTCTTGTTTACTTCATCATCCTCTTTCAAAAACAGCAGCAGGCTTACCAGGAAATTCTCTATGCCCCTATCACAGACGAGAAAATAAATACACTAAGAGGCCATGGCAGAACCAGGGGGGCTTCCCTTGCCTTGCAGGCTACTGGGCCATCTCCTGGCGGGGAACAGCGGGGAAGCCCCAGTAACCCACCGCTCAGCCCCCGGGGACAGTGCCCTCAGCTTGGCAGAGGAGATGCTGACCACCTCCTGCTGATTCTGAGGCCGTGCCTTTGCTAGCCAAACCTTTTCTACAGACTTTTGTACCAACTGTATTCACAACTCCTTTTCACCAACTCCGGTTCCAGGTTTAACTATGAATGAAGAACTGAAAATAAGGGCTGTGTGTTTTGGAAACATAAGCTGATCATGATACTTGCCCATCTGTGGGGATTAAGCTGTAATACTACTCCCCACAAGGAGCTGTGCGGCCTCCTGTTGGTTGTGTAACTGTGCAGGTATCCACAAGAAAGGAGCGAGTCATGAGGCAGGTATGTAGGAAGCCCTAGGCGCTGCCCGACTTTGGAGAACCCCAAAGGCCACAGGGTGACTTCAAAGTCACCAGCCTCCCCCCTCTGCTTCTGTGCCCTCGGGGAAGTTTTCATGTTCAAATATCCACTGCCTCTGCATCTCTTCCACTTTCACACTAATCTCAATAAAGGGCCTGCGAGTTACTCTCACTAAAAAAGATGGATAACAGCTAAAACTATCACCTTCCTGGAGGCAGTGCACTCACAAAGGTGACTGGCACTTTCATTCTTGCTACTTTGGATATGTGGGAAGCTGTGAGCTCAACTGGAGGCTGGTGTAAAGGGAACAGGGTCCAGAGTCACGGAGCCCAAGGCTTATGCCACTTCCTACTCCACTTTAGATCCAGCTATTATTTCTTAATACTGAAATAACTATACTTCTGACTGGCCCAGGCTTGAGTGTCCCAGTCATCATCCACCCTGTTTGGCCCCAGCCCCACCTATTGAAGTGAGCCTCTAAGCGCGTCACTCCTGCTCCCGTTCGGTCGCTGGTTCTTCTTTCTCCATTTAAATCACATGCAAGGTGCCTCCCAACATGGATCTACCTACTTTTCCCCAGTCTTCCTGTAACTATGTTGCAAACAAACTATATGATTCACAGTTTGCTCTGGGAACAACCCAGAGCAACCTCCAAGTTTGTGTTTATGCTCATCTCCCTGCCTGGAGAGATGACCCATCTATATTGTTTCCTCCTGGCTCAGACTTGTACTGGTTCCCCTGGAGCATGCTGAGATCTAACTCAGTTATGAGGCTACTGGCAACAAAGGGTGGGCTGGGGCAGATGGTGAAGAGAGTAGCATCCCTTCGCAAAGCAATTGTCCAGGGGAGGCCCCAGTAGCAGCCTTTAGCACCCTCAGACCTGTCGTGCACCAGCCAGAGAAGCTCAAAGTGATTCAAGGATTCGGGATTCTCGACTTCACTGGAAGCCTTGGCCGGGTAATCCACTTACATGTCCATTCTGAAACTTTCAAAACTAAAATTTGTTCTGATTTTTCACAAAGTTGTTCCTGAAGCTGCAAGAAATGAGGTCCTTCTAGGTCCACCACATGAGCACACCAGCTCTATGGCATGACCGGAGCTGAGAGTCTGGAGCCCGAGCCTATCATGCCTTTCCTTAGTGCTTCAGTACACCAGGAGTAGCCCTCTCTGCCCTGGAAATCATGGCCTTTCCCCCTGTCATACGGGAAAGTGCAGCAGTCACCTACCTACTCCCTCAGGGGACTGGCTTCTCCAGGTGCTTCCTCACAGTCAGGCAAAGGTGGCTGCGTGGGGCACTCCAGGAGCTCCGTCTGCGTTCCAGTCCAGGTCACGCCCGCCCTTATGCCCAAATCTCATTTTTGAGTGTCCATTTCCTTGGACGTTTCCTGGCACCAACTTCTCTATTAGTCAAGATCCTTTCAGGGAAGAAGAACCCCACCACTTTATAAAACAAGAATATAATGTCAGAAAGTGCCAACAGGGCATCAGCCAACCTAAGAGCAAAGAGGAACACGCAGTGCCCCAGGCCTGAGGAGAGGACAGGAGCCAGTGGGGGTCATCGAACGTCCACGCCGGGAGGGAACTTGTAGGACTGGTACCCCAGCTCCGAGCGGGGTGCGGGCTGGCTGGTGCACGTGTCTCCGAGGCAGCATGAGGAAACTGGCCTGGGTGCTGAGCTGCATAAACCAGAACCACCCCACGGCAGGGTGGCCAGGGGAAGCTTCGACATGTGACAGCATCAGGGAGCAGCAAGGAAGGAGCGAGTCCTTTCTTCTTGGGCCTGTGAGATTCCTCAGACAGGAAGGACGAGCGTGGGCCGGCTCAGACAGCCCAGCTGTGAAGACAGGGTCGAGGTTGGGAGGAAGTGACTGTCAGCAGGTATTCTTTAAGCCCATTTCAAATGCCACCCCAAAGCCTTTCTTAACATCCCCCTAGATGAGTTTCCCTCTCCTTTGAATCCGTACATGAACCTGGTTTCTTTCTGGTGTCGTGTTTTTCCTGCAGCACGTTTTCGCCTGTGCCTGTGTGGGTACCTCCCTCTCCACTTCAGCCTTCCCCATGCTGACACCCGCATGTTACCGGACCCACGACACCTGCCAAAATGGCTCCTTTTTCTCCCTGTCTCCTTTGGCTTCATGACAACTTTATATTACCCTTGTTCACTGCTGGGTCCCCAGTGCCTAGAACTGACAACCAGGCTTTCTGTGTGTGTGTGTGCGTGTGTGTGTGCCCATGTGTGTGCATGCGGGCTCACACGCATGAGTGCACACAGGGGTGTGTGTGTGTGTGTAGTGTGTTTGTGTGTGTGTGTAGTGTGTAGTGTGTTTGTGAATGAATTAAACTGAATTGAAAGCAGTTCAGGGAAGTCAGATGAGGGATCTCTGGGGATTGTGAATATGAAAATGCTGTGGTTATACCGTATGTTGTTGAAGAAAATATCTTTTCCTTGGAGTGATTAAAGGAATCTCACACCCAGAACCTAATTTGCTGACTTCCTCTTCTTCCCTTAACCAAGTCAAAAGGTGACTGCCAAATCCCCCACACGGACTAACGTCCAAAACCTGAAGCCAGTTTCCCACAGCAACAAATACAGAGAACGAGTTTCGCAACCAGGACTAAAGACCAAAAAAATTGTGCTTGGCACAGACTTCTGGAAAGATAAACACAGAGTATGATATACAAAACAAAAGACAATGGCCCTCACCCCCGTGGAAAGGACAGAGTCTCTTGCAAATTCCAGGAAAGCAGAGAGCCTAGAACACCCTGTGGAGTAATCCCTGCTGATGTGGTTAATAAGAACAGTCTTTAAGGACATCCGTTGGATGGAAAAACAGGAGCTCCAGCGCTGACTCCCTCCTGGGGACATGCACCTGAATGGCCAGCCATACGTCACAATGCAGGAGCTGGGGACCCAAGGGAGAGACTACAGGGCCTGGGGAGCACAGAAAGGGGAAGGATGAGGAGGAGGGCAGAGGTGGTTTCTCTCACCCACACAGCCCCTCCCTCCATCCCAGGCAGCACAGAGGGCAGAGTGCTGCCCCGCTACGTGGGGAGAGGGATGGAAGTGAGCCCCAGCTTCGCCCCGGCCCAGCACTGGGCCTGCTCTGGCAAACCCATTGTCAGGCTCACCTGGTACCAAGCCAGCCCTGGCCCCAAGCTCCAGGCTGACCCCCAAAGACCAGGCTGCCAGGCCTGCCTGAGGCTCCAGGAAGCAAGCTGGCTACTGCAGACCAGGTTCAGCCCCTCGGATGGCCCCACAGGCCAGGCTCCAAGCCGGGCCCAGGCTCCCAAGCACCTGGCTCTCCTCTGTTGATACCAGGACCGCGCTGCCCCCAGGCACAGAGCCAGGCCCATCCTCAGGGACCCGGCCTCTGGTTGGCCCTAGCACAGGTTTGCCCCTGTAGACCTTGGTTTCAGGCCTAGTACTAAGCTGGCTGCTGGGGATGCTGGCTTCTGGCCTGTCCCAACACACACAGTCAACAGGGCCATCATAGTAGACCACAGAACGAGGCTGGCCTGTGTGGACATGTTGCAACTGGGCCTGCCCACATGGATGCAGTCTCAGGCCTCCCCAGCAGACCCAGGTCCCAGGCCTGTCCCCATAGACACAGGCAGCAGGGTGGCCTCCCACCTACTAACCTAGGCACCGGCCCAGCCCTCCTGAGGCCTGAAACATCAAACCAGCCATAGACTCCGAGTCAGCACACCAAGAATCTCCACACAGGCTATGGTAGACTGGAAGAGATGCCTGCTTCTTAAACGTGTAGACACCAACACAAGGCCACAGAATCACGAGTAACCTGGAAAACACGAATCCACCAAGGGAGAACTAGCAATTGACCCTAAAGACATGGAGATCTACGTGTGCCTGACAAAGAACTCCAAGAGTGGCCTCAAGAAGTTCAGTGAGCTAAAACAGATCATACACAAACAATGCATGAGCAAAATTAGAAGTTCAACAAAGAGTTAGAAACCGTAAAGCATAGCCACACAGAAATTCTGGAGTTGAAGAGCACAAATTTACAGAAATGAAAAATTTCATAGAGTGCTTCAACAGCAGAATCAATCAGGCAGCAAAAAGACAATGGAGCTGGGCACAGTGGAGCACTCCTGTCATCCCAGCAGCTCCGGAGGCTGAGGCAGGAGGATCACGAGTTCAAAGCCAACCTCAGCAACAGCAAGCTAAGCAACTCAGTGAGACCATGTCTCTAAATAAAATACAAAATAGGGCTCAGTGGCTGAGTGTGCCTGAGTTCAATCCCTGGTAACCTCCTTGCCCCCCAAAAAAGACAATGGGGTCTAAGAGGTCATTTTAAATTACACAGAGGAACAGAAATAAGAATGCATGAAAAAGAGTAAAGGAAAGTCTATGGGACTGATGAGACATCATAAAGCAAACCAATGCATAGGCATTATGGGAGTCCCCTAAGGAGCAGAGGGACAGAAAGAGGGGGAAAACTTACATAAAGAAATGATGACAGAAAACTTTGCAAACCAGGAAAAGGAAACCAATGTGTAGATCCCTGAATATGAATGAAAGAATAGATTAAACAAAGAAATGTTCATTAGCCAGACATGGTGGTGCAGGCCTGTAATCCCAGTGGCTCAGGAGGCTGAGGCAGGAGGATTGTGAGTTCAACGCCAGCCTTAGCAACTTAAAGAGGCACTAAGCAACTCAGCAGACCCAGTCTCTAAATAAAATATTTTAAAAGGGCCAGGGATGTGGCCCAGAGGTTAAGCATCCTGGGTTTAATCCCTGGTTAAAAGAAAGAAAGGAAGGAAGGAAGGAAGGAAGGAAGGAAGGAAGGAAGGAAGGAAGGAAGGTTCATTAAGACACTTTATAATCAAATTCTAAAAGTCAAAGATAAAGAATTATAAAGGCAGCACGAGAATAGTGACTTATCCAGGAAACCCCTAAGAGACTGTCAGTGGCATTCCTAGAAGAAACTCTGCAGGCCAGGTGAGAATGGAATGATATATTCAAAGAACTGGGGAAAAAAGTGTCAACCAAGAACACTAAACCTGGCAAAGCTGACCTTCAGAATAGCTTTCATACCATCGAATGAAGGAGGAATAAACACTTTCCCAAGCAAAAGGAGAGGGAGTTGATCACCACTGGATCTCCTTTTAATAAATGCTATCGGGAGTTCCTCAAAAGAAATGAAAGGAAATTGGTTACTAACCTGAAAACATGAGAGCATGAGAGTCTGGGGCTGTGGCTCAGTGGTAGAGCACTTGCTTTGCATGTGTGAGGCCCTGGGTTTGATCCTCAGCACTGCATAAAAATAAATAAACAAAATAAAGGTATTGTGTCCGTCTACAACTAAAATATATATATATATATATACTTTAAAAAAAATTTTTAAATAAGTGCATGATATATGCTGGTTACGGTATATGTAGTCAAATTCTAAATACTCTAATACTGTAAGGGCAGTGTGTAGAAACTTGTATATATGCTTGTATACAAAACTTGTATACAAAAGTTAAGAAAAAAACTGTTAAAAATAACTACAGTTACAATAATTTGCTTAGAGGCACACAATATAAAATACGTAAACTGTGACTTCAAAATATGAAATGCAGGAGGGAGGGTAAAAGTAGAGGTTTTAGGTGTGTGTAAAGTTAAGTTGCTAATAGTCCACCCTGGACTATTGTTTTATATAGGCCTCACAAATGCTAGAAAGAGAAAAAATGTAATAAATACACAAAAGATAAAGAAACCAAGCATAAGCACTACTTAAAACTATCAAGTCACAAAGGTAGACAGCAAAAGAATAAAGGAACAAGGGACTTACAAAAAATCCAGAAAACAGTTGATAGATGGCCATGGTATATCCCTACTTATAAAAAATAACCTGATGCAACAGCCCGGATTGTCTTATAAAAAGAATGACTGAATAGATTTTAAAAAGAAAAACAAAATCCAAATGTATGTAATATGTATTGTCCATAAGAGACTCGTTTTAGATTTAAGGACACACAGAGGCAGAAAAAGACAAAATGGGAAAAACCTTCCAGCCAATGGAAGCCCCAGGAGCCACAGCGGCTACACTTATGGCAAAAAAAACTCACTTAAAGTTGAAAACCATCCCAAGGGATAAAGAAGGTCACTCTGAAGTGATAAGGAGGAGGGCTGGTCACGAGTGTGTAACATGATACATACATGTGCACCGTACACTGGAACACCTAAACATATGGAGCAAGTTTTAGATCTGAGGAGAGAGACAACCAGACAAGGGACGCAGCATGGGAAAGGACCAAGGACGCTGGGAAGCTGGACATACACACGCAAGGGAGGAAACCGGACCCTGCATATACGGAAAAAAAAAAAAAAACAACTTAAAGTGTATTAAAGGCTTAAACTTTAAGATCTGAAACTGTAAAACTATAAGGGAAAAAAAGTAGACACCTTGACATTATTCTGGTCAATGAGTCTTTTATAAAAATATATGTGTCAAATGTAGGGATGTGAAAGTAAAAAAAGATAAATGAAATAGCATCAGATTTTTTTTTTTGCAATCTTTATTAATTTATTTGCTTTTTATTCTCATTTTAAGTTTTTTTTTCTCTTTTTTTTTCTTTTTTTTTTAATTGGTTGTTCAAAACATTACAAAGCTCATGACATATCATCTTCCATACATTTGATTCAAGTGGGTTATGAACTCCCATTTTTTACCCCAAATACAAGTTGCAGAATCACATCGGTTACACATCCACATTTTTACATAATACCATATTAGTGACTGTTGTTTTCTGCTACCTTTCCTATCCCCTACTATCCCCCCTCCCCTTCCCTCTCATCTTCCCTCTCTACCCCATCTGCTGTTGTTTAGCATCAGATTTTTTAAAAAAGGTTCATCATAGAAAAGGAGATAATTAACAGAGTGAAGTGACAACCCATAGAAGAAGGCACTATTTGCAAACCATTCGTGGGATAAGGGCTGTGTTAGTCAGCTTGACGTCACTGTGGCCAAAACGTTGGACAAAGTCAACTTAGAGGGCTGGGGATGTGGCTCAAGCGGTAGCGCGCTCGCCTGCCATGCGTGCGGCCTGGGTTCGATCCTCAGCACCACATACAAATAAAGATGTTGTGTCTGCCGAAAATTAAAAAAATAAATATTTTTTTTAAAAAAAAAAGGATTAAAAAAAAAAAAAAAAAAAACAAAGTCAACTTAGAGGAATAAAAGTTTGTTTTGAGCTCATGATGTCAGGATTCAGTCCATAGTTGCCCAGTTCCACTGCTCTGGGCCCAAGAGAGGTGGAGCACCATAATGGAAGGTCATGGTAGTGGAAAACGGCTAGCCTCGTGGTGGCCAGGAAGCAGAGAGAGAGAGACAGAGGAGACAGAGACAGAGAGAGAGGAGAGAGAAAACGAAGAGAGAAAGGGGCCACACAGAAGCTGACACACAGAAGTCGAACCCTTTCGGGGCACACCCAGGGACCCACCTCCCCAGCCACGCCCACCTGCCTACAGTTACCGTCCAGCCAGTCCATTCCAACCAGGATGGCCTGATTAGGTTCCAGCTCTCGTAATCGGATCCTTTCACCTCTGAATATTCCAGCATTACCACAGGAGCTTTTGAGGGACATCTCGTATCCACACCGTAACAAGGGGTTAATAATAAAATATGTAAGGACTTCAAACAAATCAGCAGCAATGAAACAAACAACCTTATTTAAACATGGGTAAAGGGCCTGGATAAACACTTCTCAAAAGAAGAAGAATGAATAGAGGAACAGAACCAAGGAATGGGAGGAGGGGAGGGAGGGAGGCAGCCCTGGGGGTGGGGGTGATACTGGCCAAATGGCATTGTGACATTGTGAGCAGGTATGAATACATAACAACGGATTCCACCATTGTATACAACCATGATGCACTGATTTTAAAAAGTGGGGGAAAGAAGGACACGCTCAACATCACTAATTATCAAGGAAATGCAAATCAAAATGAAAATGAGACCTCACCTCACACCTGTTAGAATGGCCATAATCAAAAGACAAAAGATAAGAGGATGTAAGAAAAAGGGAATCTTGGTGCATTTTCAGTGGAAATGTAAATTAGTACAACCCACCATTTTGGAAAACAGTGTGAGGTTTCCCCAAAAAATTAAAACGGGACTTCCCTAGGACCCAGCAGTCCCACTCCTGGGTTCATAGCCAAAGGACAGGAAAGCAGTATGCGGAAGAGAGGCCACACAGGGGCATCCAGCAGGCACTGTCCACCACGCTGTGATGCAGCCTGGCCTCTGTCGGCAGATGCCCAGGCAAAGGCACTGCACCTGCACACATCGTTCAGCCTCAAGAAAAGCAAATCTCATCTTTCACAATGACGAGGGGGAGCCGGAAGGACGCTGCACTAAGTGAAATCAGACAGGCATAGAGATGTGAATACCACGCACCAG